GGTATTTCGATTATTAAAATATAACTACTATTCTAAATCTATATGTACTTCAGTTTGATTTGATTTATATACCATCGGTTTTAGTTTATTCAATTTTATACCAAAAAAACATGATTATTTAGTTTGAGATCATATTATATATTATACAAATATATAATATGATCATATTTAGAGTCATATTGTCACAGAGTCATTTATTAAAAAAAATATTATATATTAAAATAAAAGAATAAAAAACAAAAAGGCTTCTATCATCTAATAAAATGATCAAATTCAGAATTAATATCAAAACACTTAATTTTGAAAATAAAAAATTAAAAAAACAAAACAGAAGCATGAAAGAAAAGTTTTTATATTCTTCCATATTTAGTGTTCATCAAACCAATATGTCTTCGATTGAACACAACTCTGTTTGTTTAAAGATAAAAAAAAGTTGTAAATAATTTCAACTAATTGTTGTCCATCAAATTTATATTTTTTACTTCAATTTAGTTACTGTTAAAAAAGCAAAAGATCAAAATAAGAAGTCTAAGTTGTAATAAATTGTTAGCTATTTACAAATTATAATTATCGTTCTACTCATGTAACAAATAGATATTCATGCGTCGTTATAAATATATACATATTTATATGTTTCAGTTTAATTGGTTATAAATCAAACCATATCCAGTTCCTATGGTTTTTATAAAATCACATTCATTCGGTTGGTATGGTATATACCAAAAATAAGCATATTATCGATTGTTAATATCTTTTAAAAATATAAATTAAAAAAGAACTAAGATATTTAAATCATTGATAACAAAAAATTTCAATGTGAAAGAATTAATAATTTTATAATTTATAAATGTTCTTGAAAATTTATTGAGGATTTTGAAATTAAAATATTTATGTAATCTTATATGGTATATAGTTTAATCTGTATATATATTTGTTTTATTATTGAATGATACTTTTTACTTATATGGTTTTAAAATCATGTATATCTTTTTATAATAAAAATGTTAAACTATTGATCATTAACTTTTAACATAATAATTTTAATAGTTTAGTTATTTATTCTCGTTTTTTGAAATTCAAAATATAACCTATACGAAAAAATCTAAAGTTTAATTTTATAGTTAATTTGATTGTTTAATTTATTTTATCAATATAAAATTTTTTAAAAATGATGGAGGATATATAAACTGTTATCAAATATTTATTATTAGAATCATTAAGTGTCATATATTTATATTAGTCATTTATGGTAATTCCGTAGGTTTCATTTATGGAAAGAAAATAAAATAGTAATTATATCTAGGGGAAGAATCATAAATGCTTCTATCATAAATATCATATCATATCATCATATCATATAATTTAACCAACGAATGTATCTAGCGACATATAAAAATTGAATGTGGATCTACTTATTTTTCAATTGAATTTAATTGACTACCTAATTGAGTGACACCTAAGGATGAGGTCTTTTTTAATTATTACAAAATTGAGATTACAATTTTTAAATGTTTCTCCTTTAATATATAAGGGATAGGTAAGGGGGCTTCCATAATTACTATTAATATTTACGATTTGCATATATTAATTTTTCCATAAATTCCCAAGTTAACATATTAAGTTTTACATTACTGACAGAAGTTTATTCATTTTACATATACACTTGCCTTTACCATTAAGTTTGAACTTGGTGACAAAGTATTTTCCATTTTACATATACACTTGCGTAAATTAAAAGGAATGAAGTTATAGTTAATCGTCACATCTCTCAATTACCTACTATAGTTATGATTTCTTATTTCTTATATTTTCCTTTTCTTCCATGGCATGTATTAATGCGTGTCATACATTAATGTAAACTCGGTTTCATGCGTGGGATATATATATTAACGTAAACTCGGTTACATGCGTTACATGCGTCTGTAATTATTGTTTCCCTAGCAAATTTTAGTTGAACCTAAAGCTGCCACGTCAGTTTAATTGGTATGCTAATTGATTGACAACTAAGCAAGGTTACTTTTTATTTATTACAAATTTGAGGTTATATCTTTTCAAATGTTTCTCAATTAATATATAGGGGATACAATTGCACTACGTTACATCATATCACAACCGACACTAAGATCCATAAAATGCATTCGTGACTGAAAAAAAATGTCTTCACTCTTTTACCAAAAAAAAAGAATGTCTTCACACTTTTACCAAAAAAAAAAGAATGTCTTCACCCGCACTCAAAGTCAATTTGTGCCCTAAACCATTACCTAAAGGTCAGGACATGATTCTTTATGATATATCTAATTGTTAATTTATGTGCTAACCATTTGTTTTTTCTGTTTGGCGACTATATAACATTTAATTAAATGACAATTTGCTTAAATTAATATGTACATTTGAATAACCTATTTGATTGCTTTTTTATACAAGTTTATGCTATGGTTTTATACAGTAACAAGGACTTTCGTTCAGAAACCTATTTTATTTAGAATCTCTCTCTGGATATACGAATATACTCAACTCCAATTTTTTGTTGCACTTGATTAAATGTCGCTTTCTAGTTTCGACTCGTTTTCCAATTGCAATTAATAGACTCCTGTTATTAATTTGAATTTCAGCATAATTAGTGGACTTGGTCTGATAGATACAGAAAATTACGATAAACTTGACGTTTTAGTATGATTATATTATATGTACTGTTTTATTGTTGTCTACAAATATACTTGAACGTCGGAAATGTGATGATGAATTGTACTACTCTGTATATATTAATTAGCGGACCATTGTCTACTGTATAAGCGTATGCTAAAGTTAGATATACAGTTTAATTTTTTTTTCAAATGACTAGAAAACAGTTTGGTATTTTGAAGTGTTATTGTTTATAGGCCGTATAATAAGTACAATAACAAAAGTATATATAAAAGGACGGACGTGGACAAACCATTTAGTTGTTTTAAGTTCTTGATTGCTTCCCACGTCTTCGATAGATACAAATATGTAGAAGTGTCAACAGATTAGCCTAGTAAAATACATTAATCAAAGAACTAATCAAACTTTAAATAATTAAAATTCTTGCAAATTATAGTTTAATCAAACTTAAGTATATATAGAGAGATAATAGTTAATAGTTGATTTAGTTACAGTCAACTGGAACATATAGTATATATAGCTAAATTTGAAGTACTTATAATCTATTATGATAACGTTTTATACTTGGTATCTTCTACAAGTTCCCTGATTAATTGACCTTCTATGATTTTTATATGAACTGATACCACAAAGCATATAGTGATAGCTAAATAACAAAAAGACAGATCTCATCAATGATGACGTCATGCGAAGTAACACAGATACGCCTATAATGTAACCTGTCATTCAGTTCATGGCGGCGCAAACCGTTAAGATGAAATCTCATTTGCTTACAATGCAACTCAATCTTGTAATTACACATGTATACACACTTACATTATCTTTTAGATGACAAAATGTTTTTTAGATGACATAGTGGTGCCAATAAAGTAAGGGATTCAGATATATAAGTAATGGCTAAAAAGTTAAAAATAAAAGAGAAACGCACTTTCATACCACGGGTGAAAATTTAATAATGCATAAAAGCGTTACGATCACGGACTATGTCGCTATACATAACAATCATATAATTCTAAATTGCCTTACGCGCTTATTGCTAATAATTATGTATTATAAAGTGCTGCAACCGTGCAGCAAACATATCATATTATCTGTTTTCCTACAAAGCTACAAAATAATAATTATGTATCAATATTAAAATCTTGATGCCGTATGCTGTGATCGAATAAATATATTTATCTGCAGCAAGATGTAAGTATTTTGATGGGCACCTCACGTAAAACTAAACGTTTTTTCAATAATATTAAACATACAACTATTTCCAGAATATAACCATAGCTTTGATATAAAATCTGTCGCAAGGGAATAAAATGACTAAATAATATCTATGTATATATACATGAAGTCAGCTTATTATATCTACAGTTTACTGATACAACGAAATGCTTCAAGAGGGATTCTACAAAATTCCATCAGTTTTAATTAGCGGTCACGAAAAGTTAATTTAATTACTCTACATGGATTACATTTACATCTCGTTGTATATAACGTTTTTAGGTTTGTAACTGTTTTTTTTTTCAATAATCTTCTGAAATAAACACTCATTTACAGTCAAATTCATTTATATGAAAGAAAAAACGAATTTACGTTTTGCTTTATAAAATGATAAGTTTTGTATAAGTGGTCTACAATCATAGTCACTTTTAGTCTTTGAACTTTTAAGTTTGATGTGTATTTGATCTAATAGATTGGTGAACAAAGAACCAATTAATTCATCGTATGTAATCAACATTTTTTCCTTGTGGCTGCAAGGTTTCGCTTTTAAAAAATATCTTAACATAAAATATTGATTTGGCTTATGTTTAATCAATTAAAAAAAAAAAGCTATCATCACCCACATAATTCATAATGAGATAGTATCTTGATATAGTTAAGCTTTTGATACATTACTTTATATATATATATATATATATTATATATATATATCCGGCTATTATCATTTTACATCTAACAATAAATGAAATTGTAGTTCTGATAAACACTTAAATAAAAATGTTGTAGCCTTGCTGTAGCTGCTAGGAAAAGATAAAGTGAAAAAATGTACAAGCTCAAATTTTGTATATTTTAAGCAAGAGAGCAGATGCAAGCTTGGTCAAATAGATCAGGTAAAAAATACAATACTGGTGGTAATAGAATGAAGTACACAAGAAAAATCATTATTAGAATAGATCCATATTAAATAAAAAGACAAGATTCCCCTTGGAACATAAAATAAATTATAGTGTTTGAAATAATCTCATATAGTTTTGACAAGAGGGGCCTAATTTTTTCCTATATAAACACCTGAAGGCAGCAATTCATCTCAAACCCCACAGCAAAAAGCCACTCACCTTTTCTCTCAATCTTTCTTTGCTGCCATGGCCACTAAGCTTGACACAAGCAGCTTACTGTTAGCTCTCTTGTCCAAATGTAGCCTCCTCACCCAAACCAACCTTGCTTTGTCTCTCCTCTTAGCCTCCATGGCTTGTCTCGTTCTCTCTCTTTTCTACTGGTCTCATCCCGGAGGACCTGCCTGGGGAAAATATTTCCTTCATCGCCGCCACCGAACCACCGTGATTCCCGGACCAAGAGGCTTACCTTTTGTCGGAAGCATGTCTCTCATGTCCAACACTTTAGCTCACCGCTGCATAGCCGCAACCGCAGAGAAATTCGGAGCCAAACGTTTGATGGCGTTTAGCATGGGAGAAACTCGCGTGATCGTCACGTGCAACCCTGATGTAGCTAAAGAGATTCTAAACAGTCCGGTTTTCGCCGACCGTCCGGTTAAGGAATCAGCGTATTCCCTTATGTTTAACCGGGCTATCGGTTTCGCTCCTTACGGCGTTTACTGGCGAACGTTGAGGAGAATCGCTTCTAACCATCTTTTCAGCCCTAAACAGATTAAACGCTCTGAAACGCAGAGACGTGTGATCGCGAATCAGATCGTGAACTGTCTCAAGAAACAGAGTAGCAGCAACGAAGGACTCTGTTATGCTCGTGACTTGATCAAAACGGCATCGCTTAACAACATGATGTGCTCTGTTTTCGGGAAAGAATACGAGCTTGAACATGAACATGACGAAGTGAATGAGCTTCGTGGGTTGGTGGAAGAAGGTTATGATTTGCTCGGAACACTTAACTGGACCGATCATCTCCCGTGGCTATCGGAATTTGATCCTCAGAGAATCCGGTCTAGATGCTTTACTCTCGTACCGAAAGTAAACCAGTTCGTGAACCGGATTATATCTGACCACCGCGATCAAACTCGTGACTCGCCTAGTGACTTCGTCGACGTATTGCTCTCTCTTGATGGTCCGGATAAATTATCCGACCCGGATATGGTCGCGGTTCTCTGGGTATGTACACGTTTCCTTATTTTATTTATTTATTTACTAAATGGACAAAAAAAGACAGAAAAAACATTTCTAAATATGATAACGGAAAATGGTACTAACGTAATTGCAATTTATGGGTTTTACAGGAAATGATATTTAGAGGAACTGACACGGTGGCTGTATTGATCGAGTGGATTCTTGCTAGGATGGTCCTGCATCAAGATATTCAGACAAGGGTTCACAACGAGCTTGATCAGGTCGTGGGGAGATCAAGAGCCGTGGAAGAATCTGATGTGGCTTATCTGACGTATCTAACGGCTGTGATCAAAGAAGTCCTTAGGCTACATCCGCCAGGTCCACTTCTGTCGTGGGCCCGTTTAGCAATTACAGATACGATCATTGACGGTCGTCGTGTGCCAGCGGGGACTACCGCAATGGTGAACATGTGGGCTATAGCGCATGATCCACACGTGTGGGTAAATCCATTGGAGTTTGAACCTGAACGGTTTGTTGCAAAAGAAGGTGACATTGAATTCTCGGTTCTTGGGTCGGATCTAAGACTTGCACCATTCGGGTCAGGTCGTAGGGGGTGTCCAGGGAAGAACCTAGGTTTGACCACCGTGACGTTTTGGATCGCGACACTCTTGCATGAGTTTGAATGGCCTGCTCCATCGTCCAATGAAAATACCGTTGACTTGTCCGAGAAACTGAGGCTCTCGTGTGAAATGGCTAATCCTCTCGCTGTTAAGTTGCATTGCAGACGCAGTATAAGCGTATGATAAGACTATTATACACTGGAGGAAAAAAATAAAGTAGTGTGCGAGTGTGAAGCAGAAAAGAAAGATACAAAACTAAAGAAAAACGAGAATAAGATAAGCTTTGAAGCTTTTTTATGTTAAGCTAACATTTCTTGATACACAACGTGTGTGGTGGTGTGAGGAGTGATGTATTAAATATAATGAAAAGCATTAAACTTTTTTTTTTAACTAAAAACTTAATTAATACTATGGCTTACTAATTCCGCAGATTTGGAAAGCGATATTTGCTTGAACGCAAACAAAGCCCTGATTACATGCAAAAATAAGATAACACTCTTTCATCCACTTAGAGCATCTCTAAAAAGAAACTCCATTTTGAAGTTTCTCAAACTCTATATTTAAAGTTTCAAAGTGTTCTTCTCCAAAAGAAAAACTTCAAAATTAACTTCAAAATTTTTTATATTTTACATTATGATCCTTATATTTGTCACAATTAATAAAAATTCATAAAAATTTTATAAATAACTAACACATATATAAAAATATTACAACAATATTAATTAATAAAAGCTTATATTAATATATAAAACTAGAAATAGAATACATGATTAAACATTAAACTACAAGCAAAATATCGGGGTGTCCTCCAAAGATAAAACATTTTTTATGGCAATTGCTATCGGGGTATATTGCCGTTAAGAAAAATCTACAGGTAAGAGGGATAAATGCTGATATATGCTGTGACAGATGTGGCGCTGCAGAAGAATCAGTCAACCATGTGTTCTTTGAATGTCCACCAGCACGACAAGTTTGGGCATTGTCAAAGATCCCTTTGAACCCGGTAACTTTCCCTACAGATGGACCATTTATTCTGGAGGGTTATTCCTAAGATGGACGATCACCATTTTGCATGGATACTTTGGTACATCTGGAAAGGGAGAAATAGCAAATGTTTTAGTAATTTGGATGTTGATCCGAAGGACACACTTTCATTGGCGGAGACAGAGTCCATTCTCTGGGAGGAGGCTCAAATAAAAGTAGCTCAGGGAGAAAATCAGGTAGGGGTTCTCGCGGCAATACCGCCCATATCAGGGCGTTGGTGTTTTATTGATGGTTCTTGGAAAGACAAAGATATGTTTGATGGACATGGTTGGTATAGCACCCTCGGAGGTTTTGTGGGTTTAATGGACGTAAGAAATGTTAGAGCGAGCCTCTCACCTCTACATTCGGAGGTGGAAGCACTTATCTGGACTATGGAGAGTATGAGGAATTTGCGTCAATATTATGTTACGTTTGCAACAGATTGTTCTCAATTGGTGAAGATGGTTTCGGAACCAGATGAATGGCCAGCCTTTGCAAATTATTTGGAAGATATCAAGACGCTTCAAGGGAGTTTCCACAGCTCGGCAATCATCCATATACCAAGAACACTGAATTCAAGGGCGGATAGTCTAGCACACAGTGTGAGGAGACAATCGTCTTTCGTTGTTCACATGGATACAGAGCTACCAGTTTGATTCGCAGAGTCTATATGAGTCTGTGTTGTCGATGTCAAAAAAAAAAAAACCAAGCAAAATATCACACTATTCCATAAAATTATTTCCTTAATGCTCGCATATGTGATCAACTAGTACATTTCAAAATAAGAAATGACTCTCTTTATTTTAAATTTATAGATTACGAGCTAAATTTTTTTGAAAACGGATATCATGACTGAATTACGAATGAAATATAAAACAAAAAGTTAGCTTTAAAAGAAGTAAAAAAGGAAAATAAATTATTACTAAAAACTTAGCTTCTATCGGTGATATAAATACTCGTGAGTACATTCGTTCTGAACAAGAAAAATCATACGAAAAGACGTCAAGAACAACAAGAACAATCATCTTCGGTTACAAAAAAAAAAACTTGTTTGGATTTGAAGATTTTGGAGCTTCCGGAGCAAATTTACCAGATTATTAGTGTTATTGTAATATTTAATTTTCTATAATAATTATGTCTTCATGTACCTTTTTTAAAAAATATTTTTAATTAAGTTTGTTTTGTAATATTCTTGTTGTCTAATTCTACTTTTAATTTATTGTGTAAAGCTTAATTTATAGAAATAAATTTGAAGATTTGTGAGATTTGTTTTATAGATTATAATGATAAATAAGAAAATACTTAAGAATCATAAATAAGATATGTAAATATAAGGATCAAATTGCAAATAAAAAGATGAAACTTCAAATTTGAAGTTTTGTAGTTTCTTTTTGGAGAGCAAAAAACTCTATATTTGAAGTTATAGAGAGTCTTTTGGAGATGCTCTTAACAACAAAACTAAAAAAACACATTTATCATCAATTATTTATTTATTTATTTAATTTTTAAAAGGTGAAGTCAATCGGTTCATATATACAGAATCTAGATACACAGAAAAACACAAAGTAGAATAATTCAATACTAATCTCTTTCATTATAAATATTTTACACAATTTCTTAAAGATTTACTTAATCCGAATTACACAACTAGACGGAGATCAATTCCTAACATATTCAACTTGCTTTATTGAGCACATGTTGATTAAATCTACCAATTCACTCAACAATTAAACCCCAAACCATTTATCTCTCTCTAAAAATTACAACGTCAAAAGTTCTAACCTCAAATCTAGGTAAAAGCCAAATATATATTAAATAATTTTTAGTATCTAATATATTATTTCTTATATTTTAGCATAACAAATTTTCTAATTTAGTTGACCAAAACATATGGAAATATTTCACATTATCACGTCTTGACATTTTCTCTTTTCTTCTTTGATGTGTGTATCAAGCATTATTTTCTATGTGTAAAGCACAACACATACATGAACCCAAACTCCACCACTACAACAACCTATCAAGCTCCAAATTCTTGAGTTTACATTATCCCTCTTTTTCACTGAGTTTTACCACTAAATCTCATTAACCTTTAAACACACTATGAAGCTCATTACCCTTTAAACACACTATGAATCATACATCCCACTAAATTATTAACTTAAACTCCCCCTGAGTCAAGTATCATCTCCCCATACTTGAGTGAAAAACTCTGTGAAAAATTTCACGATACTTGTTAGACCATCAAAATTCTCAATACATTAACATTATAGTAGGAGCCCATCGAACTCGTTCATCAGTTTCAGCATATTGATCTTCCATCCGAGTGTATGACACATTGGTATGCTTGTGTGGCACACCTTTCGCAAACTTAAGATACATATCCTTCTTAGCTATCCATATATGTCCATACCTTATGGGTTCCGCATAACAAAGGTTCATCCTTTGAGCTCTCTCAATCTGGTTTCTCTGAGAAGAACATAAAGCAACCTTATGCCCACGATTCCCATAAAACAAACAACCCTTCGTCATATTTATTGCAGATTTTGGAGGATGTAGTGTTCTTTAGCCTTAAATTCATCTTTCAAAGCTGCGGATGTATGTGTTCTCTCAACTTTTGAGCTATTTTCAGGGTGAGATGTAGTACCTTTAACAAACTTGATGACATCAACTGGACTAACTTGATCTTTTTTGAGAAGCACCCTTGTATTCTAAACCTCAGTTCACCTTTTGAGATTGTCCAAGTGATAATATATGATCCAAAGTTTCAGATCCTTTATTCAGCATCTTTAACTTTTTGTAATTTTCACTGAGTTCTCTTTGTAGCAGCTGATTTTTCTCGAGTTCCTAATTTAGTAGTTGTTTCATCTGCTTGTATTTAGTATCCACACTCTTTAGATTGTAGGCATGCTCAGTTATTATCTTCTATAGACTTTGTAGATCAGACTCCTTCTCTTTTTTTAACACGTCCGTCACTGATTTTTTTTTTTCAGACTCTAGAATGCACACTTGTGCTTTCAGCATTGATTTATCTTTGATCAACTGCATATTTTCTTCACTAAGTTTAGCAAATTGACCAAAAAGAACCTGATGCTCAACAAACAGATCTGCATTTCGATCACTTTCTGTATCACTGTGTGATGCATCAGAATTGGTGTGTGACACACGCGAAATACAGATTTCACCTTTAGTGATGTCTTTTTCAGGTCCAATAACTTCATGAAGAGCCACAAAATTGAGAGCATCTTATTTTCTTTTTGACTTTTTTTTTTATCACTGTAACTTCTCTTCATCTCATTTATGTTTTTACAATCTGATTTTATGTGTCCATGACCATTATATGCATTACACTTGATTTCTTTTCTCCTGAATGATGGACAATCTGTTTTGACATCTCCAATACCATGGCAATTAAAACACAACACTTCCTGGCTTTTATGTCTTTCTTCTTCTTTAGACAGTTTGTCGTTAGACATCATATACAAAAGATTCATGTTTTCTTGAAGTTTATGAATCATTAAGTAAACAGATTCTTCAAGTTTCTGAGCTCTCTGGACGTCTCCATCAACTGTAATATTGAATAGGCTTTGACAACTTAGATTATAATTCCATCTTCTCAGCCTTTAAAATTCCTACTACCTCAGCGAACTTGAGTTCATCAGTGTTCATCGTCAATTTTATCGCAACTTTATGTGCTGCAAACTTAGTAGGCAAACATCGCAAAAGTTTATTCACCAATTTTGCATCTTCGTATTTTTTACCTTAAATTTGTGCTTCATTGGATATGGAGCTGAGCTTGGCACTGAAATCTCCAATCTTCTCATAATCGGTCATTCTTATGTCTTCAAATTGTGATGAAAGCAAATCTAATCTTATCCTCCTAACATTCACACTACCCTCAAAGGTGGTTTGTAGTATATCCCAAGCCTCTTTAGCTGATTCACATCCTTGTATTAGCTCAAATTGCTTACTATCTACATAACTGAAGATTATATCCAATGCTTTCACATTAAACTTTGAAAGCTTTTTCTCTGTTGCAGTCCACTTTATCTTTGATTTAAGTGTCTTCAAACCATCCTCTAAAATCACACATGGTTCTTTCCATCCAGATTGAACAGTTGTCTAGATATCTTCATTAGTTCCACATAAGTTTGCTCTCATTCTCACTTTCCAATACCTATAATTCACATCATTCAACATCAATATATTATGTGCCAAAATCGCCATATGTTCTTCTCAGGATCTCACCTTGTTTCGAAAAACCCTCTTTCGTTTAGGTTTTCCGTTCTGATACCAATTGTAGAATCGAGATATGACGGAAAATACAAGGCATAGAGTAATTCAACACTAACCTATGTTATTAGGAATCGTTTACACATTCTTTTATAGACTTGGTTGATCCGAACTACACGACTCGACATGGATCGATTCGTAACACGTCCATCTTGCTTGACTCAACACATATTGATCAAGTCTACCAATCCACTCAGCTATGAAACCCCAAAACTCTTTTTGTTTCTTTCTAAGAGTTTTGGTTCGCATATATGTATTACACATAGAAATTGATGTGTGACACACACTTTGAAGAATAAAAGAAGAAACGTCAAGACGCGATGATATGGAATATTTCTATATGGTTCGTTAACTATACTTATATTATATATTTTAAGCTTTCATGGGATTTTCGACTTCAAAATAATTGATAACTAGATTTTGATCTGCGTTTGGAAAGCACATGAATATTTTATGATGAAAACTTTCATTAATAATTAACAAAATACTTTGTTAATTTGAAAAAAAAATGTGCATTTAAAATATTTTTGCATTTAAATCCGTGTTTTTAAATTCGACACAAACCCGCAATTTAACTGGTTAATCAATGATCCGGTAATTCGATTTACATTTAAAAAATCACTAAACACTGAGACCAATCGTTAGAACTGATGGATAACTGATATGTAATATTTATAACTGTAAAGTTAAGTTCTATTTATTTTTTGTTATTGTATAAATTATTTGAATTTTTAAATTATTTAATTTATCTAAATAACTTAAAAGAAAATTGTAAGAAATTATTTTAATAAGAATAAGAGCTAATATTTTGTATTTTTTGCACACAAGATTAATTATAGTATTGTTTGGAAAGATTGACACTAGTATAAATAAATGTGTACATTGTTTGAAAACATAGATAGTAGTATAAGGAAATGAATATTAGTGATTTAATGTAGATTTTAATTATAAAGTATGAATGTGTATTTAATTTAAAAACTTACAAAATAAAAGTTAGGTCCAACACAATGTTTCTACTTTAATAAGATAGATAATATATTTTGTCTATATATTTCTGATACCACTTACTCCCTCCGTTTCAATTTAGATGTCGCTTTAGAGTAAACTTTTTGTTTCAAAATAAGTGTCGATTTATAATGTTAATGCAAAATTTATTGATTTTAAATGTCATTCTATTTTTTCATTGGTTGAAATGTGGTTATGTGTATAGATAAATGTTGTGTTTTTATTTTGAAAACATGCAAAATTAATTGTTTTCTTAATCTATGTGAAAAACCTAAAACGACAACTAAAATAAAATGGAGAGAGTATTATATATGCCAATTTTATGTAGACTATTCTTTTAATATATCTTTTACAGTGATGGGTTTTGTAGCCGTCTATCTTAAATATTAAAATCTCGTTTGTGTCAAATGGTGGAACCAAATCTAGGTTGTAAGAAAAAAATTGTTTCAAAAAAATATTTTTATATTTTAATGTATTTTTATCAATTGATAATAAAGACTTGTAAACTTCAAAAGCATTAATTACATTTCTTGAAGTTTTATTAGTTTAAAAATATCTTATATAACAAAAGGGAGTTGTCTTTCTTCTCATGAAACCACATCATCATGCACATAGGGGCAAATGTTGACATGTCAACATCTCCATCTTTCTTGAAATCGATCATGCAAAACCAAAAATGCATGGGCTTAATGAGTTTCCTTTCTGATTATTTTCTATTTGGACTCGACAGTTTCTCTTAGGCCTTGATTGGTAATGAAGTTAGGTGGACTAAATGTTTAAGTATCCAATCACATCTAAAAAAATAAAGCAGTTACAAGAGCATTAGCGGCTCTTACATGCTCCATATCATCATGCTCTCTTGTTGAAATTTTAAAAGAGCATTTAAACTTATTAATCTACAATTACAAATTTACCCTTATATACATAAATAAAAAATGTAAAGATAATAATACAATATATACTAGCCCTAATTTTAACTACGTCCTATATTTAGGTTACTTACATAAATTTTGTCTTCCACCAAAACCAACGACGTCGGCAATTCAAAGCAAAGGTATGTGTTTTTTTATTTTCTCGAAAGTTTGTGTTTTCAACACATGTATAGATGTAGGAATTTTCATATTGTAGAATAATATTTATCTTTAATGTTGTACCCATATATTACTTGTATAACATAGAACTATGCACATTTTTTGTTTTAAAGCTATTGTTTACATGGTCTTTCATGCTTTATGCTCTGTATGATGTGTTGATAATGAATTCGTCAATTTTCATTCTTTTTTCTATTTTGAAAACATACTTATATATTCTAATATTTGTGTAACTTATCAAAAACAGAAAAAATGTCAAGTCCACAAGATCTTACCCAACCCACGGCCAAGGTATGAGTACATAAAAACATTAATTAAAATTATTTTATCTCAGTGCGGTATTGTTTATAATTTTATAGATTTATTTTTAGCCAGAAATGTTTTTGACACATGAAACGATTCATGAAATGTTAGTATTAGCAAATGGTGAAAAATATAATGGATATTGGAAAGGAATTTCTTTTAATGAGATAGAAAGACAAAACATTCGAGGATGACTTTCTACAAAGTTTGGTTTCGACCAACCTTGGGGTAAGGTTTAAAGTCGTCTTGAATATTTGGTGAGATTGATATGATATAGATAAGCGCGTAACGAAAAATGCGAACGGGTTGGGGTTCACTCAATTTGGTGAGATTGATATGAGCACGGATTGGTGGGATCAGTTGATTAAGGTACTTTTCAAGCTAATGTGTAAATACATCTTTTATTATTTTACAATTTTTTTCTTTAATATATAGTTTGAATTTTTTCATTGTAGATGTGTCCAGAAGCTGCAAAACATCGTGTTCATCCTTTACGTGATATTCCACTCCTTGATTCTTTATACCATAAAGTTACTATATCTGCAGCGAAGGTTGGTAGAATCAACAAGGAACAAGCCAATTGCCTCAACAAATAGGATCCGAAGAAGAAGAAGCTGATGAGATATCATCTCCAGTGAATAGGCCTGCGAATAATGGTTCCAAAAGAGCACATGAAGAAAAACCTTCCAGATCAAAACCTTCCCGAAAAAGATCCAACTCAGATCATTGGGATCGTATCACAAGTACTTTAGAAAATAAAGAGAAGTTTTGGTAAGCACGTCGAAAAACATATGAATCCTTCAGCCCATTCAATGCTGATATATGCACAGAGGAATTACTGAAGATGAAAACATTAGATCAGGAAAGCAAGCTATACTGGGCGGCTCTTGATTATTTAGCCAGCAAGAGAATGGTCGTCAAAGTTTTATGACATTACCAAATGAGCAACAGAATAAATATCTAGAAAGGGTTACTGGAAAAAAAGAACTTAGATATATATTTTTTTATCTTTTCGGTCTAGTGTTTTTTTATCTACGTGACTTTGGTTTTATTTTTGGAATTAAAATTTGTTATTTATTTATTTATATGAGTTTTACGTGAGTTTGGTCAATTCTATTGTTTGTTTTTGGATTACATGTGGCCTACTTTGGGTAACGTGTATGAGAATTCCACTTATATATTTTTTATTTGTTTTGCAGGAAGTTGCCATGGAATTCAAAAAAAACGTACTTGCAGTAATTCGGTTATTGGTCGAAAGCGAATAACTTGATCCATATTGTGATAGAAAATTGATGAGAACAGACCGAGGTCGTGGATTGCGTCATACAATGCAAATGATTAACGGTTCTGGCAGAGAGTGCTATGAAACAGTGAGAATGAATCAAGACACTTTGATATGTTTATGTGCTACATTGAGGAATGATTATAAACTTAAGGAATCACGTGAGTGCTCATTAGAAGAGGCAGTAGCAATGTTTCTTGAAACACTTGGACATGATGAAGTACAGCGAGAAATTGCTAAGAAATTTCAACGTAGCCAAGAAACAGCGAATATGAAGTTTATGGAGGTACTAGATGTTGTGCTTCTTCTCTCCAAGGATATTATAAAACCTGGTGATGATGAATATCAGCAGACTAACAACCGTTTGTTTTCTAATAAGAGTTATTGGCCTTATTTATGTGATTGTATTGGAGCTCTTGATGGTACTCATGTGTCAGTAAGGGTTAAAAGTGATCAAAAAAGAGATTTTGGAATGTGAGAAAACAATTTGCTTCGATGAATGTGCTTGCGATTTGAAATTTGGATAGGAAGTTCATATATGCATACGTTGGAACTCCAGGCAGAGCACATGATTTGAAAGTTCTTACTTATTGTGCGCAAAGTGATACATTTTTTACGACACATTCTGAAGGAAAATATTTTGTTGTTGATTCTGGATATCCAAACAGAAAAGCTTATTTAGCTCCCTATCGTAGAACTAGATGTTGGTGTCAAAAACCGTAATCTCGAAATCAACGTCTACGATAACTTCTGGAATCATTACTTTCCGCAAAAGTCATTTATTAAAACGGAAAGTCGTTTTAAGAAAACTCGAGAATCGTTTTATAAAACTCGAGAATCGTTTTATAAAACTCGAAGAATCGTTTTATAAAACTCAAAGAATCGTTTTATAAAACTCGAGAATCGTTTTATAAAACTCGAGAATCGTTTTATAAAACTCGAAGAATCGTTTTATAAAACTCGAAGAATCGTTTTATAGAACTCGAGAATCGAAAATATTTTGAGCTTCTTACGTTTTATAGAACTCGAGAATCGTTTTATAAAACTCGAAGAATCGTTTTATAGAACTCGAGAATCGTTTTATAAAGCTCGAGAATCGTTTTATAAAACTCGAAGAATCGTTTGATAAAACTCGAAGAATCGTTTTATAAAACTCGAGAATCGTTTTATAAAACTCGAAGAATCGTTTTACGAAACCGCAAAAAACCGAAACAGCCGTAAAACGTGATCTAGTCACGACTAGTTCGCCCACGGGCGAACTAAGCCGAGCCGGCTTAGTTCGCCGATGGGCGAACTAGGAGACACTCGACTAGTTCGCCCATCGGCGAACTAAGAGACACTCGACTAGTTCGCCCACCGGCGAACTATGCCAGCCGGCTTAGTTCGCCGTTGGACGAACTAGAGATTTCCCGCATATCCCGCGCCTCGATCTCCCGCATCCCCGATGCGAAACTTACGTCTTTCTACACGATCGCATTCTGAAACACGGCCGAAACGTCTCCCGTTCCGTCTCGATCCGACCTATCGTTCGAGTTTTACGATAAAAACCGTAAAATTTTGCTTTCTCGAAAAGAATTCGAGGAAATCGTATAAAACGGCAACGGTTAAACGAAACACCGAAGATTGCCTAAACTATACGATTTATTCGAGATTTCTCGTTAAAATCGTAAAAAACACGTTTTTAATAAAAAAATGTCGAGAGAATCATAAAAAAACGGCATCGGATCAGGAAACGGTCTCGTTAAAGTCGTAAAACGGTTTTTATCGTAAAACGGCCCGAAAGGTCCTAAAACACGATAAAAGCCCATCTCGCGACGTTAACGAAATTAAACCCGAAGATACGATAACGCTTTGACGGTCTACTCGCAGACGGAAGATAAAAGGCAAGTTTGAAGATAAATAAAAAAATTCCGCAGAAGAAAAAGAAGGATCGAGAAAAATGGAAGATTCCCGATATACTCAAATCCGGGCAAAATGGAAAGATCGAACCGTCAAGGCAAGGAGTATATAAACCAGAGGCGAAGGGCAGAAGGGGGGGGGGACGAAAATCAGACCTAAAAAGACGGCTGCTAGCTTAGGAATTTAGGACTTAGCGTTTAGAATAGCAATCTTGATCCTTAGAAAGTTTCGACGTCTAAGTTCTACAATTCTTCTTGTAACAGTTGTCGATTCTTCATTTAATAAAAGCTTTCATACAAGTTCTTATTCCTTTGTTCTTCATTGTTCATCCATATTCTTGTTAATTCGTTTGTTTTAGTGATTCCGCAGAGATCCAGGACCTCGGGAAAATTAGGGTTTCATCCTAAGTTTCCATATTTGACAGAAAATCGACAGTGTGGATTTCGGTTCCCACAGTTTGGCGCTAGAAGGAGGGGGGGTCGTATTCTCTTACACAATAATCGCTAAAACGAACGAGAAATAACATGCCTAATCTGAACGGCGACGTCATCTCGTTCGAGAAAAGAGCAACGATCGATTCGGTCAAACCTCTCAACGATCTTCTCGTTATTGAGCTGAAGATCCGGAATATGGATGTCGCAAGGATATTAGTCGATACCGGAAGCTCGGCTGATATCATCTTCAAAAATACTCTCGAGAGAATGGAAATCGATCTGTCTGAAATCGCGGAAAACGTAAGCCCGCTAGTAGGACTCTCAGGAGAAATCACCATGACCCTCGGAACGATCAACTTGGCGGTTCGCGCCGGGAGCATAGTGAAAAACGCCGAATTCGAAGTCGTCGACCGACCCATGTCTTACAACGCAATCGTAGGGACACCGTGGTTAAATTCGATGCAAGCGATTCCGTCGACGTACCATATGTGTCTCAAGTTTCCGACTCCATACGGGATCGAGACTATATGGGGAAATCGAAGAACCTCGCAGGTTTCCTACGCCGCAGATTTAAAACGAAAAAATCTGCCGGTCGATATCTCGTCCAAAAAGAAAAAGAAGTTGACGTCCCTCGACAACGCCCCAGAGCAAGATAAAACGGAACTCTTCTGGCAGTTGCGAGCGGCCGAGGCTTTGGAAGGTAAACGCGAGCCAACCTGCAAACCCGTCATCTCAGTATGCATCGACGAGAATTTTCCAGAACGCTGCGTCGAAATCGGTGCGAAACTGAGCGAAACCTTAAAAGTCGAACTCCTGATATGTCTGAAACGAAACTCGAACACGTTCGCTTGGACTGCGGAAGACATGCCAGGGATCGACATAAACATCACATGTCATGAACTCAACGTTGACCAGACATCCAAACCCGTCAAACAAAAAAGACGAAAGCTGGGTATCCTGACTGGCTCGCCAATCCCATTGTCGTAAAGAAAAAGAACGGAAAATGGCGAGTCTGCGTCGATTTCACCGATCTCAATAAAGCGTGTCCGAAAGATAGCTATCCGCTGCCGCACATTGATCGCTTAGTCGAGGCAACCGCGGGCAACAAACTCTTATCTTTCATGGACGCCTTCTTGGGATACAATCAGATCATGATGAATCCCGACGATCGGGAGAAAACCGCATTCATAGCCGATCGTGGAACCTATTGCTATAAAGTGATACCTTTCGGTCTAAAGAATGCTGGCGCGACTTACCAACGACTCGTCAACCGAATGTTCTCCGAACAACTCGGAAAAACAATGGAAGTATACATCGACGATATGCTCATGAAATCACTGGAAGAGCAAGATCACGTCGTACACCTCCAAGAATGTTTCGAGAGGCTCAACCTTCATAACATGAAGTTGAACCCGGCAAAGTGTCGGTTTGCCGTTGCGTCCGGAGAATTCCTAGGGTACCTCGTCACTTACCGCGGGATCGAAGCTAACCCGAAACAGATCACGGCGCTAATAGAGATGGTCTCTCCCAGGACGAAACGCGAAGTACAAAGACTGACCGGCAGGGTCGCAGCACTTAACCGTTTTATCTCGCGATCAACGGACGAATGTCTAACTTTCTACGAGACAATAAAGGGAAACAAAAAGTTCGAATGGTCAGAGGAATGCGAGAAAGCTTTCCAACAGCTGAAACATTACCTAGCTACCCCGCCAGTACTCGCGAAACCCGTAGAAGGAGAACCATTATTCCTCTATATCGCGGTATCAACGACCGCCGTAAGTGGCGTCCTTATCCGGGAAGAACGCAGCTAACAAAAGCCGATCTTCTACGTAAGTAAGACACTACTGGACGCGGAGACGTGATACCCGATGATGGAGAAATTGGCTCTGGCCGTGGTCATGTCCGCAAGAAACTTAGCCCGTATTTCCAATCTCACACCATCGTCGTTCCCACATCATTTCCTCTCCGCACCATTTTGCAC